ATTGTGATTTATTCATTTCACTTAATACAACATCCTCAAGGTTCATTCTTCCTGGAACACGTGGCACAAATATTTGGCGGATTAATATTCCATCGTGTGGCCGCCACTCTAGGGACATTGCACAATGGAGTCTTGTAGGATTTGTCCTAGTGTGATGATTTATTTCACTTAATACAATATCCTCAAGGTTCATCGTTCCTGGACCAGGTGGCACAAAGTCCTTCCTTTTTCATGCCTGAGTAATATTCCACCATGTGGCTGGCACTCTAGGGACATTGCAGAAGCAGAATCTTATAGGATTTGTCCTATTGTGATTCATTTGTTTCACTTAATACAATATCCTGAAGGTTCATTCTTCCTGGAACAGGTGGCATAAATATTTGGCCGATTAATATTCCATCGTGTGGCTGCCACTCTAGGGACAGTGCACAAGTGGAAACTTACAGGACTTATCCTACTGTGATTGGTTTATTTCACTTAATACAATATCCTCAAGGTTCATTCTTCCTGGACCAGGTGGCACAAAGTCCTTCCTTTTTCATGCCTGAGTAATATTCCACTGTGTGGCTGGCATTCTAGGGACATTGCAGAAGCAGAATCTTACAGGATTTGTCCTATTGTGATTCATTTATTTCACTTAATATAATATCCTCAAGGTTCATCATTCCTGGACCAGGTGGCAGAAAGTTCTTCCTTTTTCTTGCCTGAGTAATAGTCCACAGTGTGCCTGCCGCTCTAGGGACATTGCACAAGTGGAGTCTTGTAGGATTTGTCCTAGTGTGATTCATTTATTTCACTTAATACAACATCCTCAAGGTTCATTCTTCCTGGAACAGGTGGCACGAATATTTGGCGGATTAATATTCCATCGTGTGGCCGCCACTCTAGGGACATTGCACAAGTGGAATCTTGTAGGATTTGTACTAGTGTGATTGATTTATTTCACTTAATATAATATCCTCAAGGTTCATCCTTCCTGGACCAGGTGGCGCAAAGTCCTTCCTTTTTCTTGCCCGAGTAATAGTCCGTAGTGTGCCTGCCGCTCTAGGGACATTGCAAAAGTGGAATCTTATAGGATTTGTCCTACTGTGATTGGTTTATTTCACTTAATATAATATCCTCAAGGTTCATCCTTCCTGGAACATGTAGCACAAGGTCCTTCCTTCTTCACACCTGAGTAATATTCCACCGAGTGGCCCGGCTCCTTTCTGTGCACCCATTCATTTGTCAACAGACGCTCGGGTTGCTTCCGCTTTTTGGAAAGGTGAGTCCCGCTGCTCAGAACCAAGAGTGCAAATGACTTTCCCGGCCCCCGCTTTCATTTCCCCGGGGCCGGCTCCCAGAAGTGGAATTGCTGGTCATACGGTAATTCGGATTTAAATTTTTTGAGGAACTGCCCTTCCTTGGTCACCACGGCGCGCCGCTTTACATCCACACCCGCGGAGTCCGGTTTCTCGGCCTCCTGCCAGCAGCTGCTGCATTTTGCTTTTCTTTGCTGCGCTGGATTCAATGGAATAGAAACCCCGTTCTGGGGGGTGAGCTTGGGCTGCATTGTCTGGCAGGTGCTGCTGCAAATTTTCCTGCTGCTCTGTACGACTTTCTCCTCTTCTTTGGGCAAAAAGACACCACTTTAGGGGAAAGCTTGATCATGTGATGCGATTCGAGAGGAAGGTGAGATGGTGGGGAGCAAGGACTGAACCCCATCTGGTTAGCAAGGGCGAGACAGGAGGACAAGACATGACTCAAGGCGAGAACTTTGCTGCTGGGAAGCAGTGGCTTTGGATTTTTTGTTTGTTTTAAGATTTATTTATTGATGCACACAAGAGCTGGGGTGCAGGCCAGAGGTGCGGGGGGCGAGAGGACTCCCCAGAGACAGAGTGGGGAGCAGAACAGGCTGGATTTATTAAATAAATCCAACTCTAGGCTCAGATGCCTGAGCTGCGTCCTCACAGCCCTGTCCTGCATGAACAAAAATAAATAAACAAATAAATAAATAAAAGAATTGGGGCTACCTGCCGACAGGGGGGGCGTTTGCTTTTCTGCCTCTGCGATGCCCCCGGAAGAGGGATGTTCTATTGAAAAACCCACAAGGATTTTCCTCGGCGATCACGGGCATCTCTGGGGTGGCTGGTGCCGGAGATCAAGAGTCATTTCTTCATTTGCTTTGCAAATGCTCCTGAGAGCAGAGTCAGGAAGGTTCCAAATTTAACAGTTCCCTGGGGACCCGCCCCCCTCTTGTGAACCTATGTTTGGGAGAAAGGTTTAAAGAGAACCCAGTAGGCAAGTCTCCAGGGAAGAGGGGGTGCATGAAGCCAGTAAAATGGGTGCGGAAACCCCCGTTTCTAACGCTCTCGGGCCCCTCGGCCCCCTGCACCCCCTCTGAGCTAACGGTTGCACCTCACGTCAAACACCAGGGCCCTGTTCTAGGCCTCCCTGCCTGGAACTTGACACTGGGGGCTTGTGACCTATTGGGGGGTCTCAGAGCACGTGTGGGGATCTAGGACCTTCTAGTTTGCTCATGTGTGACTGCAGACAAATCTGTAATGCGTCACATGTGTCATCCATGGAGAATACTCGCACGCGGTCAAGTCTGAGGTGCTATCCAGTCAGTGCACATGGTGGGAAACACAAAACACTTGGGTTGAGAAGCAGGAGGCGTGTGCTGTCGATGTCTCGCACGACTCTGAAATGACACGTGGGGATAGGCGTGTCGTGTGGCACTGTTCCCGTGTCGTGTGTGCTGCGGATCACCTGTGAGGTCCTGGAATGTCAGGGTTGTATGACGTGGAGTATAGGACAGACCACCAGCACATGTGGTGCACGTGGTTGGGATGAATAATAGTTTCAGACCACGGCATTTGTCCACATGTAGGACGATGTGTGTGCTGGTGAGAGACATGTGTACGATATAGACACACATAACACGTGTGTGAAAATGCATGTGACCTACAGCAAATATATCAGGTTACAACTAAGCAATATGTCAATATATACACCGTAGGCGGGCCTCCCCGGTGGCGCAGCGGTTGAGTGCTGGGTTGCGAAGCTGCCTGCAGCCTCTGCAGCACCGGTTTGATCCCCGCCCACCGGGCGAGGGTCCCACATGGGGCGCAGACCCCTCCTGCCGTACCCACTGCTCCCCTCAGCAGTGTCCTTCGGTCCTTCTGCCTGTTCTGTTCCCCCCTCTGGCTCGGGTGAATTCTCTCACCCTCCCATGCTTCTGACTGTACCCAGTGCTGTATAAATAAATAAATAAATCTAAAAAACCAAATAAATAAATATATATACTGTAGGGAATACATCTAAGACTTGAGTGACCCCTCATTTATCAACATACAGGATGAAGGGTCTGTTGGTAATCTGCACAGATATGCAACACATAACTCACAATAATAGCATGTATAATACATAATGTACAATTCACGGAATCATATGATGCCATCTTGCTATGTATGCTCTGCAGACAATGGCTATACCGTGTATTTGAACGACTGATCCTCTATCAGTATAGATGGTGAGATGTTTATGGGTAATACGTGCATATATGGAGTATGAACATAACAATATGTGATTAACGCTAATATGTAATATATGGAATAGGTCATATGTGCGTATATGCAGTATGTACATGATATGTGATTAACGCTAATAGATATATGTTATATATGTTACATCTGCAATAACAGATGTAACATATCGATACAGATGTTGTACAGGCCATAGTGTAACATGCATAGCATGTACTTGATGATATGTGATTTATCAATATACATGATTTATCGATATACATGTATATTTATCAACATGCATGATCGATGTACAACATATATATTGATAATAGATACATAATAATGTACGATTAATAATATGCACTAGAAACAGATAGTAGATGGACTAGAGCATATGATATCAATATCAACATATCAATACACATATTATAGAGGCCATAGCAGAACCTGTATTTGATTATGTCACTTATGAGGCAACATGACGACGTGTCTCTCGCTAATATACCCGTAAATGCCACAGACACACCATAATATACACTCTACGGAATAATACAGACGATAACATATCGATGCACATATTACACGGACCCTAGTGTAGTACATATGACTTGAACGACACGTCACTGATCAATATGCAAGATGAAGCGCCTACTGGTAATCTCCACATCCTTACAACACCCCCCCATAATATATAATGAATACCTAATAATTAATACCTATGATGAATGCATAATAACACAGAACACTCTAAGAACGCCTACAACACATCACGCATAACACACAGGCCCCACTACCATCATAGATCCTCTACTCAATGTCACTACCAATACACAGACGTGCACGTCGATAGTATGGACTATATATAAAATATATTTAATATATATTAAAAATATATTTAATATACATTAAAATATATTTAATATTTAATATATTTAAAATATATTAAATACATATGCAATGGCTATATCGTGTATTTGAACGATAGAGCCTCTATCAGTAGAGATGGTGAGATGTTTGGGGTAACATGTACATGTAAGCAGCAATATGGGATTAACCTTAATACATAATACATGGAATAGGTAATATGTACATATATTACCTATTAGACGTTTAATTAGATGATATTAAACGCCATGTCCTTTATCTACACGCAGTAAGAGCATGTTGACGACAGGCACCTCACACGCTCTGGCCCAGTTAACAACGCGCAAGCACCAGCAACCAGCACCTGCGGCAGGTGAGCCCGCCACCGCGCGCGCCACGACCCCCGCATCCGCGGCCCCTGCGCGCACGCGCAGACCCGGCCCCAGCGGCGCGGCAGCGGCGTCGGGGGGGGGGGGGGGCGGGCGCGCGCAGGCGCGGTGCGCCGGCGGGGGGCGGCCGGAAGTCCCGCCCCGGGGCGGGGCCGGCGGGGCCGCGGCGCCCGGCCGGAAGCGGAAGCGCGTCACGGGCGGGGCGGGCGCGGCGGGGTCGTCGGGGGTCGGGCGAGCGGGGCCAGCGCGGCGCCGGGACCGCGCACCCCCCGGTGAGTCCGCGGGGTCGGGGGCGCGGGGCCCCGGGGCCGGGGCGGGGATCGGGGTCCGCGGGGCGGGTCGGCCGGGGCCGGGGCGGGGCCCGGGGGGTCCGGAGGCCCCGGCGCCGGGTCTACGGGGGCCGGATCCGGGGCGGGGCCTGGGGGGCTGGGGGGGCCGGGTCTAGGGGGTCCGGATCCGGGTCTAGGGGACTCTGGGGGGCCGCGGGGCCGGATCTAGGGGGTCCGGATCCGGGTCTAGGGGACTCTGGGGGGCCGCGGGGCCGGGTCTACAGGGGCCGGGTCCGGGCCGGGGTCTGGGGGGCTCTGGGGGGCTGGGGGGGCCGGGTCTAGGGGGGCAGGATCCGGGTCTAGGGGACTCTGGGGGGCCGCGGGGCCCGGTCTAGGGGGGCCGGATCCGGGTCTAGGGAGACTCTGGGGGCCGCGGGGCCGGATCCGGGTCTAGGGGGCTCTGGGGGTCCGCGGGGCCGGGGCCGGGTCTAGAGGGTCCGGATCCGGGGCCGGGTCTACAGGGACTTTGGGGGTCCGCGGGGCCGGGTTTACAGGGACTCTGGGGGTCCGCGGGGCCGAGTACCGGGTCCGGATCCGGGTCTGGGGGACTCTGGGGGTCCGCGGGGCCGGGTCTACGGCGTCCGGATCCGGGCCGGGGTCTGGGGGGCTCTGGGGGTCCCCGGCCGGGGTCTGTGGGCGCGAACCCAGGGCCGGCCCAGGGTGTGGGGACCCGGGGATCCAGGAATGGCGGCCGCGTGAATATTGGGGGGCCGGGGTGCGTGGGCTTTTGCACCCGGCTCCCCGCGGGTTTGGGGCGCAGGGTCCGGGTTGGGGGAAGGCTGGAGGGCCCCCAGCCCCCGCCAGGAAGCCTGGATGTGGGGTGTCTACTGAGCCCCAGGGGCGTCCGCGTCTTGGGGAGCACGTCCTGGTGGGGCGGGGTCTGGGGGCCCCGGGGGTCGGGGTGGGTGAGGGGTGCACCGTGGGGCGGGGCTGCCGGACGCGCGCGTCAGGGGCGTGGACACGGGGTGGGGGCAGGGAAGGGGCGGGTCCCGGGGGTGCTGGGAGGCCAGGGCCGGTCTGGGCAGTTGAGGGGCTCGGAGGGGCCATCGGGGTGCCAGGGACAGCCAGGTGCCCAAGCCGGGGGACCGGCCCCCAGGCAGGTGGGGCGCCAGGGGAGCCCCTCACTCCGGCCCAGCCCCCTCGGCTGCGCAGTGGGTCGGGCCTCGCGGCTGCGGGCCTGGCAGGGGCCGGTGCCCGCGGCGGGCGGGTGGACAGCCCGGGGCGCTCGGAACCACAGACCTGTCCAACCAGTGGGGACAGTGGCCTCCGGGGGGACAGGGGGCCGAGGTGCGGGGGCCCCGGGTGCCCAGAGGACGCGGCGGCGCTGGACGTCCACCCGGCTGGACCGGCCTCCCGCCCGGACCCGTGCGCACCGGCGCCGCGCGCCCCTCCCCGCGCCGCTCTGCGCCTCCCCGCGGGCCTGGTCGCCTGCGCCTGGACCCTCAGCCTGGCCCCGCGTCTGCGCGCGCCCTCCCCGTGCGCCCCTTGCACCCGGACCCCGCGCCTGGCCCCGCGTCTGCGCGCGCGCCTTCCCCGTGCGCCCCTCGCGCCCGGACCCCGCGCCTGAAACCCGCGTCTGCGCGCGCGCCCTCCCCGTGCGCCCCTCGCACCCGGACCCCCAGCCTGGCCCCGTGTCTGCGCGCGCGCCCTCCCCGTGCGCCCCTCGCGCCCGGACCCCGCGCCTGACCCCCGCGTCTGCGCGCGCGCCCTCCCCGTGAGCCCCTCGCGCCCCGACCCCCAGCCTGGCCCCGCGTCTGCGCGCGCCCTCCCCGTGCCCCTCGCGCCCGGACCCCGCGCCCTGACCCCGCACTTGCCTTGCAGGCCCGAGTCCCTGCTATGGCCGCGGCCACCATCGTGCACGACACGTCTGAGGCGGTGGAGCTGTGCCCGGCGCACGGCCTGTACCTGAAGCCCATCACCAAGATGACCATCAGCGTGGCGCTGCCGCAGCTGAAGCAGCCGGGCAAGTCCATCTCCAACTGGGAGGTGATGGAGCGCCTGAAGGGCATGGTGCCCAGCCACCAGTTCTCCACGCTGCGCATCTCCAAGAGCACCATGGACTTCATCCGCTTCGAGGGCGAGGTGGAGAACCGCAGCCTGGTCAAGTCCTTCCTGGCCTGCCTGGACGGCAAGACCATCAAGCTCAGCGGCTTCTCCGACATCCTCAAGGTGCGCGCGGCCGAGTTCAAGATCGACTTCCCCACGCGGCACGACTGGGACTCGTTCTTCCGCGACGCCGAGGACATGAACGAGACGCTGCCCGGGGAGCGGCCGGACACGGTGCACCTGGCCGGGCTGCCCTGCAAGTGGTTCGCGCCGCGCGGCTCGGGCTCGGAGAAGCCGAGCGAGGAGGTGCTGGTGCGCGTGTTCGAGCGCTTCGGCGAGATCCGCAACGTGGACATCCCCATGCTGGACCCCTACCGCGAGGAGATGACGGGCCGCAACTTCCACACCTTCAGCTTCGGGGGGCACCTCAACTTCGAGGCCTACGTGCAGTACCGCGAGTACGCGGGCTTCATCCAGGCCATGAGCGCGCTGCGCGGCATGAAGCTCATGTTCAAGGGAGAGGACGGCAAGGCCGTGGCCTGCAACATCAAGGTGGGCGCGCCGGGCGGCGGCGGGCCGGGCAGGGCCGGGGGCGCGCGCCCTGGCGGCCCTGGGGGCGGGCGGCGCCGCGGTGGGCGCAGGGCGCGGTCCGGGCACCGCGGGGCGTCCCGTCCGGGCAGCTCAGCGGCCCCGGGGTGCGCGCCCCGCGTCGGCGGCGGGTTCCGCGCGCGGCCGGCCCTGAGCGCGCGTCTCCCCCCAGGTGTCCTTCGACTCCACCAAACACCTGAGCGACGCGTCCATCCGGAAGCGGCAGCTGGAGCGGCAGAAGCTGCAGGAGCTGGAGCAGCAGCGCGAGGAGCAGAAGCGGCGCGAGAAGGAGGCGGAGGAGCGGCAGCGCGCGGAGGAGAGGTGCGGGCGCGGGGCGCGGGGCGCGGGGGGCGGGGGCGCGGGGCGGGCGCCTTCCTGCGGCTGCGCCTGGGCTCCTGCTGGCCGCTCCTGCTGGCCGTGAGGGCGGTGGGCGTGGCCAGGCGCCGCGCGAGGAGCCTCGCGGGACTTGAGAGCGGCGGGACGCCCGGGGCGCCGAGGGGGCGCAGACCCCGGAGGGCTCCCGCGCCCCGTGTTGTGCGCCTCCTGGCCACACCCGCTGTGCCCTGGGGAGACGGGAGCCAGCGGCGCCAAGCCCACGGTGCGCCCCCGTCTCCTGTGTGCGCGCCCTGCGGGCCCCGCTGCTGACCTCCCCGAGGGCGGTCGGACGCGCGGCGCAGACCTTGGGGAGGGCCCCGCCCACCACCCAGCTCGCCCAGGAGCCCCCCAGCGCCAGACTCAGAGGCGCCCCGGCCAGGGACAGCCTGTCCCTGCGTGGGCGCGGCCTGTCCGGGCAGTGAGCACCGCGGGGGCCGGGGCGGGCGGCGGGGGGCGCCCCTTCGGGCCGTCAGCTCCAACGGAGCAGAGCGAACCCCCGAGTGCCCACAGGGACCTGGTGTCCTGCGGGGGTGTCCAGCTAGGGCGGGGCGTCCTGGGCTGCGCTGCGGGGCCTCGAGCCCCGTATGGCAACCGGGGAGCTGAGCTCGCGGGCCAGCCCGGGGGCAGCTGTGGCTGCCTAGAACCTTCCAGAGCAGGCTCCCTCTTTCTGCCGCCTGTCTGGGGGCGGCCGGCTGCCCCGGGCTGTGCCCCGGTGGTGACCAGTGCCCTCCGGCCCGATCTCGCCTGTGCCGGGCGCGCCCTTCTGTCCGGCCCTGGGGGCAGGGGGGACACTCTCCGGGCCCGGGGCCGGGCCTCTGCCCCAGCGGGACCTTCGGGCGCGCCCTGAGCCGCGGGGCGTCTCCTTGAGTCGGGCTGCGCCTGTGGCCGCGGGTCAGGGGCCGCCCGCTGCCCGGCCCGCGCTCCTGGCCGCGCGTCCTCCCCAGGACTGACCCCGCGTCGGCCCCGGCGCCGTCTGCGGTTTCCGCCTCGGGGCGCGGCATCCTGCCCAGAGCGCGAGCCTGCTCCCTCGGGGTCCCTGCGCGGGGGAGCTGGGGGCCTCGCCTCCCCCGCGCGCTGCGCTCCGGCGCCCTGCGCTCCCGGGGTTCCTGCGGGCCGCCCCCCTTGCTCAGCGCCGCCCGGTGCCCGCAGGAAGCAGAAGGAGCTGGAGCAGCAGGAGCGGGAGCGCCGGCGCGAGGAGAAGCTGCGCCGGCGCGAGCAGAAGCAGCGGGACCGCGCGCTGCGCCGCAGCCAGAAGAAGCTGGAGAAGCTGCAGGCGCAGGAGCAGAAGCAGCTGCAGGAGAAGATCCGGCTGGAGGAGCGCAAGCTGCTGCTGGCGCAGCGCAACCTGCAGTCCCTCCGCCTGGTGGCCGAGCTGCTGAGCAGGGCCAAGGTGCGCGCGCGGCCCGGGGGCGGCCTGGGGCGGCTGGGCTGGGGCTGGGGCTGGGGCGGGCCTGAGGGGCTCCGGCCTGGGGGCGCCCTGGGCCGGGGCTTGGGCGGGGGCCGGCCCGGGGCGCGGCCTCGGCGCCCTCCCAGGCGCGCACTCTTCGCACGGAGGGTTGGACGGCGACGCGGGTCCAGGCCTCACCCGGGCTCCTCCCGCTGGAGGCCCCCGCGGCCACCTACCTCCCCGCGCCCGACTCCGGCCCCTGCAGGCCGCGGCCCGTGGGCGGCGGGGCGCGCCCCTGCTCCGCCGCCGTGGATCCCACAGGCCCGGCGGCGCGGACGCCCGCGGCGCCCGGAGCCGCCCTCGCTCCTGCCGCGCTGGCCGGTGAGCGCCGCCGGGGACTCGCGAGCCTGGCGGGCGCGCTGCCCCCCGGCCCGCGCTGCGCGACGGCGCCCCCATAACCTGTTGTCTGATTACAGTTGGGATAGCCCGGGAAGGCGCTGGCAGGGGTGCTGCGACGCGCGCCGCCAGTTTGCTTCATGGTGAATATTGAAGACACTAACCCCGGCGAGGCCGGGCCGCGGCGGCCGGCGTGTCTGTCTGCGCTGTAATCTCGGCTCCGCGCTGGCCGCGGCCAGCCCGCGCCTCCAGGCGGCCCGGCCCGGGCCCCGCCCAGCCGCTTCGCCTGGGCGCCGCCTGCTCGGACGCATGCCCAGCCCCGGGCCCGGCGGGCGGCCTGGCCGCCCGGCCGGCCTTCCCGCGGCGCGGGCCGCGTCTCAGGCGCCCCTCCCTCCCGCAGGCCGCCAAGCTGCAGGAGCAGGAGCAGAAGGAGGCGCGCCAGCGGCTGCAGCAGCGCGAGGAGCGGCGGCGCCTGCAGGAGGCCGAGCTGCGGCGCGTGGAGGAGGAGAAGCAGCGCGCGCTGGGGCTGCAGCGCAAGGAGCGCGAGCTGCGCCGCCGCCTGCTGAGCATCCTGCTGAGCAAGCGGCCCGACGACCCCGCGCGCGCCCGCCGAGCTGGGCGCGGCGCACGCGGACCTGCTGCAGCCGGTGCTGGACATCCTGCAGACCGTGTCGGCCTCGCTGCCCGCCCTGGCGGGGCCCGCGCCCGGGCGCCCCCGCGGAGGCCGCGGCGCGCGCCGACCCCGCGCAGCACGGCGTGAACGGCGGCCTGGCCGAGGACACCCCGGGCCCCGAGGCGCGGCCCGCGCGCCCGGCCTCGCCCGCCGGCGGCTCCCCGGCCGAGAAGCGCTGCCCGGGCGTGCTGGCCTGCATCCCCGACAACGCGCAGCAGCCCAAGGGCGCCGCCTGCGAGCCCGCCGCGCCGCCGCGCAAGGACGCGCGCTCCGAGCAAGACAAGTGCAACCGCGAGCCCAGCCGGGGCCGGGGCCGCGCCAGCGGGGACCGCGCCGACCAGGACCGCGAGCGCGAGCCGGAGCGGGCCGCGCGCGAGCGCAGCCGGGCGCGCCGCGCGGGCAGCCGCGAGGACGGGCGCGCCCCGCGCAAGGAGCGGCGGGCGCACAAGAAGCGCGCGCGCGCGGACGACAGCCCCCGGCGGCGCAGCGCCAGCCCCGAGCGCGCCCGCGCGCGCGGCTCCCGCAGCCGGGACCGGCACGGCCGGAGGGAGCGCAGCCGGGAGCGCCGCGCGGGCTCGGCCGCCAGCGCAGCCGCCACCGCCGCGGGGAGCGCTCCCGCTCGGGCTCGGCCGGCCGGCACCGCAGCGCCTGGAACAGGTAATGGCCGCGCGCGCGGGAGCCGCCGCGCGCCCGGCGGGCCTCAGGACCCCGGGCCCCGCGCCCAGCACCTCCGCCGGCCCCGCGCCCGGCCCCGCAGACTGGGAAGCAGCTTTAACGTGCGCCCCGGGGCGCCGCCCGGCCTGGGCGCGGCAGGTGCGCCCGAGCCTCCCCCAGAAACGTTCTCTTTGTACGGGCTCCGCTCGCCCCAGGCGCGCCCGCCCCCTGTCCGGCCGGGCGCGCGCTCTTTTAGGACGCGGTTTTGCTAAATTATTTCTACTCGGGCCGTTCCCGGAGCCGCTGCGGCCTCGCCGGGTTGTACGATCCGCTTGTCCGCGGGCGCCGAGGGACCCGCCGGCCCGTTTGCGTTAGGAACGATGTGTTCGCCCCGGTTTGCATTTTTATGGTGAAATAAAATTCTTTTCCAGGCCCCCGCGTGTCGGCTGCGGTTTTTTGGGGGGTGGGGCGGGGCCCGGGAGGCGGGCGGGAGCAGGCGGGACCCCCACCCCACCCCACCTCACCCGGGGCCGCGTGTGCAGGTGGCCTCCCGGACCCCTTGCAGGGACGCGGAGCGGGGCGCGCCCCTCGGGGCCCCCACACGTGGCAGGGCGGCCCCCCAGCGTCCCAGCGGGACCGCCCCACGCCCCCAGCCCTGCCCTCCCAGACCCAGCTCCGGCTCCCCCGAGGCCGTGACCCACCGCGCCTTCGCGCGTCTCCAGGCCCCGGACTCGCGTCATCGCCTTAACTGCCCGCGCCGGCCGGACTTGGCCTCCCCGGGGCCGCCTCCCTCTTAATCCCCGAGGTGATCCTGCGCCCCGCGGAGGGCCGGGCTCGCTGCCCGCGGGTTCTGTCCACGTGCGGGCCGTCCCGCCCCCCGAGCGCGCAGGGCCCTCCACCCGCCCTTTGGACGCCCGGCTCCCCGGGCTGCTGGCTCAGCCCCAGCAACGGGGCAGGCCGGGGTGGTGACCCCAACGGTGGCGCGGCGGAGGGAGGTAGGAGCGGGATGTCCCTGGGCAGAGAGGCTGCGGGGCGCTGGGCAGGGAAGGCGCCCCCCTAACTCCTCACCCAACCCCAGTCCAAACCCCAACTGTGGCTCTTCGCCGGGAAGCGCGCCCCACGGCGCCGCCGGTGCTCCCCGCACCGAGGTCGTCTCAGCGCAAACACCCGGGGAGTTCGGGTTCAAATCCACCCGAGGAGCGCACCGGAAGGGGGGTGTCCACCCCAGCTCACGTGGGGTGCGCCCCTGCATGGCAGGGTGACCTTGGCGATGGCTGTGCGCTCAACCAAGGCGGGTCCTGACGCACGGGTGTGGACGCGCGCCCCAAGTGTGCAGAAATGGGCCACCCCGAAGTACCCCCTCTGCCCCCACGTCCCCCAGCCTGCTCACACCCACACGGAGTGGCCGTGCGTGGGCGCAGGTCAGGGGCGCCGCTGCCCGTGCAGGGCCGTGTGCGCGCGCCCCGGGGGACGCCTTAAGCCGAGGGCCGCCCTTAATAAGCCTAATGGAATTCTCTAGATGATCCGCCGGGAGCTCCTTCTGGAACCTTCTGGCACCTGCTCGCGGCAGCTGCCAACCCGCGCCCCCGTCCCCGCCCCCGCGTAATAATAGGCGCGCGCCTGAGCGCGGCCACCAGGTCTCCAAGCCCAGGGTGTGGCGGATCATGGGGTCCCCGGAGGACCAGGCTTTCGGCCTCCTGAGCGAATACGCCAACGGCTTCATGGTCTCCCAGGTAGGAAGCCGTCAAGGAGGGCCCCCGGGCCTTTGGGGGCCAACGGGCAGGACCTGGGGGGTCACTGAACGCGTCCGGAGTCTCCTTGGCCATGACAGAGGGGCGAGGCCGTCTGGGGACAGCAATGCTGTGACACAAGGAAAGGGACTCGTGGCAACAGGCAGCTGATTAGAGGGTCCCCAGGTTGGGGGGCGCGGGCAGGCGCTGCCCGTGGGGCCAGGGTCTCCTTTGGGGGACCAGATGGTTTGCGAATTGGATGAGGGTGTGTTGCGCGGCCCGGTGACCACACTGGTGAGGTTTTCCGAGCACAAACGGAGACGTTCGTGTGTGTGTTTTATTTTACTGTGGCAAGCGTGTGCCAGCGCGGGCTCGACACGCATTCAGTGTCCCCACAGAAACAGCCGGTCACTCACTGCCCACCCCTGGCCCCAGCCCCACCGTCCACTTCCTGTCTCTGCCAGCTCCGGGGTCCTCCCCGGCTGTGTCTCACATCACCAGCATCATGTTCCCGAGGTCCATCTGTGTCCTGTAGCAGGGGTCAGCTGCGCCTTCCTTTGCCTTCCTTTTTCGGGGCTGCATAATATTCCAACCGGATGCGATTTTGTTTCCCTGCTTCTCCACACGGGCATATTTGCATTCTGAGGACTGTGGCTCCCGTGGCTGTGAATTTCCTCGTGGAAACATCTCTTCCAGCCCCTGCTGTCCATTCTTGGGGGTGTCCACCCAGGAGTGGAATTGCGGGGGTCTCAGGGCTGGCCTCCCCTGATTTCCCCAGCGCCCCTCCCTGAAATCTGCGCTTTGTCTCTGCCTTTCCCGAGGTTCTGTTCGCCGCCTGCGACCTGGGGGTGTTTGACCTCCTGGCGCAGGCCCCAGAGCCCCTGGGCGCGGCGGCAGTGGCCGCTCGTCTGGGCACCAGCGGCCACGGGACGGAGTTGCTGCTGGACGCCTGCGCGTCGCTGCGGCTGCTCGCGGTGGAGACACAGGCGGGGCAGGGTGAGGCGCGGTGTCTGGGGGGGCCCTTTAGCACCCCCGGGTCCGTCCACCTGCCCACGCTTTTCCGCTCGGGCCGGCGAGCATCTGCGGAGTCGCCTCCCGGCTCCTTCTGTCCACCCTTCTGTCCACCATGTCCTCTTGCCCAGCGCGTCCGTCTCCGCGCGCCCCTTCCACCCGCTCCCCCACCTCTGAGCGTCTCCGTGAGTTCCCCAAGTGCGCATGCTGCGCTCTCCTGCCCTCTGGCTCCAGACCCCCTGTGCGCTCGCTCCCCCAGCGGCGAGGCCCCCGACGCACCCCCTGGCCCGCCGCTGGCGCTGCCCCTCCTTACCCCGCGCGCGTTTCAGCCGCCTACGCCAACACGGCGCTGTCGGCCGCCTACCTGGTCAGCGCCAGCCCCACCAGCCAGCTGGACATGCTGCGGTACCTGGGTCGCACCACCTACCTGTGCTGGGCGCACCTGGCGGAGGCCGTGAGGTGGGCCGGGGGCGGGGATATGGAGGGGTTGGTGGGGGGCTGGTGCCAGGGCGCCCGAGCACCCACACACCAGGCTGGGTCCGAGTCTGGCACCTGCCAGCGGTCATTAAAGCCCACCCCGTGCCCGACGACGCGCCTGAGCTGGGGACACTGGACTGTGCGCTCCGGGAGGCGCAGCCTGGGCTCGGCTTGGGGGGAGGGGGCGCGCCGTCCCCCAGCGCGCGAGGCTCAGAGCGGAGCGCAGCGATGGTCCAGCCCTCCTCCCGCTTTCAGGCAAGGGAGGAACCAGTACGGGCAGGCGTTCGGGGTGCCCTCCGGAGACCTCTTCGCTGCCGTGTACAGGTGCCGCCCTGCGGGAGGGTGCGCGCTGGGAGGGCTGAGCGCAACGTGCGCGTCCCCTGGGGGCCATCCGGGTGTTCCCTGGGGGCCATCCAGGTGTCCCCTAGGGCGCGTAGACTGCGGGGTCCTGGGCGCACAGCCCCAGGCTGCCAGGGTGGGCGGGGCGCAGGGCGGTGGGGCTGTGCGTGGGGCGCAGGGTGGCGGGACCATCACCATCGACCCCAGGGCTCCCCGCCAGGTCGGAGGGCGAGCGCCTGCGCTTCATGCGGGCGCTGCAGGACGTGTGGCGCGTCCACGGGAGACGGCTGATGGCTACCTTCGACCTGTCCACATTCCCGGTCATCTGCGACCTTGGCGGTGAGTATCTGCCGGTGGCGCGAGCTTCCAGGGCTCACTCCAGAGGGACCCCGCGGCCAGGATCAGCCACTCCTGGAGGGGGCGCTGCTCCCTGGCTCTGCAGCCCACCCCGCAGCCCACACCCTGCTTCGCTGCCCGCTGTCTTGCTCTGGACCACTGTCCACCCACCTGCCCTATCACCCGAGGTCCAGGTGCAGACCAGGAGGGGCCCCTGGGTCCCAGAGTTCCCGAGACTGCCTAACCCACCAGTCCTCCCCCAGCCCCCCAAAGTGTCCAGCCTCTCCCCTCCCCTGTGGCCCTGGTGCTGGACCCGGAATGACCCCCTGGTACCGGGTGGATAAGAGGGGGACGGTTCCCTCCTGGGATCTCAAGGGTCAGCTCCCCGGGCGGCCTCCTCCTCCTTGCTGGCCGTCCTCACAAGAGGTGGACAGGGGACCCAGCCCCAGACCACAGCCTCGGACTGGAAGGTTTGCCAGCCACGCTGGGTCCAGCTCTGCCCAGCAGCAAGGCCAGCTCGAGCCAAGGTCTTGCCCCGGGGACCAGCCTGGACCCCCACCCATCACGGGGTCAGTGTCAAGCCCCTCCCCGCCGGCCTGCTCTGTCTGTTCCAGGCTGCTCCGGGGCGCTGGCCAGGGAGTGCCTTTCTCTGTACCCCGGGTGCCAGGTCACCGTCTTCGACCTCCCTGAGGTGGTGCTGGCGGCCAAGACGCACTTCTCACCCCCCGAGGGAGGACCGATCGGCTTCCTGGCAGGTGGGCTCCTGCCCGTGGGCACCGGGAGGACATCAGGGACACCAGACGGCCCCTCCCGTCTGGTTGGTTCACAGCTTCTGTCTGTAATCGAGGGGGCAGGTCCACCCACCACCCTCACGGTCCCTACGGCCTCTCCCCACTGTCCCCCTCTGACCACCTCAATCTGTCGTCAGGTATTGTCTTTCTCCTCCTGGCTTATTCCACTCAGCATCATCCCAACCGGTTGCCTCCACGTTGTCACGAATGGCGGGACCTAACCTTTTTCATAGCTGCGTAGTATTCCATTCGGCCTATGACACACATCTTGCTGCTCCACTCCCTGTCCTGGGCCACGTAGGTTGTCTCCACGGCATGACCGTCGTGTAAATAGCGCTGCGGGGAGCACAGCCGTGCACGGGACCCTTTGAATTCGCATTTTCGCGTCTTTTGGGTCCACACCTAGGAGCGGAATTGCTGCTTGGGATGGTGGCTCTTTCTCGAGATCCTGAGAAGCCTCCACCCTGAAGGCCACACTTGGTTTCCTTTGGCGCCTTGACCGACGGCCCTGGGTCCCCCGAAGCCCCTGCCCTGGGGCCCCTGAGTTTTCGGGACATGAGAGAAAAGAGAAAAAAAAAACCCTTTTGTGGGGGGACGAGGTCTGGCAAGACCTGGGCGCTCTGCTCACCCCAGAACCTCCTCCCCGGCTGACCCGGGCGCCTGCCCTGTGTTCCAGGCGACTTCTTTAAAGACCCCCTTCCGGAAGCCGACCTGTACATCCTGGCCCGTGTCCTGCACGACTGGACGGACCAGGCGTGCTCACAGCTGCTGGCCAGGGTCCATCAGGCCTGCCGTGCAGGTGGGGGGCGTGGGCCTGGGCAGTGCAGCCCAGTGGCCCCGGGAGGGGTGGCGGTTGGGCACTGCATCCCCATCACAAGCAAGCGCAGGGTCCTCTGGTGGTCAGCATCATGCAGGAACGGAATCAGAACGGAGATGGCCTCCATGTCCACGACACCCCAGAGAAACACGTCCTTGGTCTGGCCCCCGGGGACACGGACGAAGCCTGGGTGTGCAGTGGGGGCCGTGTCCTCTCTGGGAGAGGTGGGGACCTTTGCTTAGTCCCTCCGGCCCCTCGTCCAGCGCTGGGTCCGCACCCCGGTCATCCCGCACCTCCTTGCTGTGCCTGAAAGCGCCCAAGGATCGTTGCGCTTAGGTCTGTCCAGCCGGTGTCGGGGGACAATGCCATGAGGGGTTCAGGGTGGACCGTTAGGGAGAAACCCCGGGTCTCGCATGGTGACCAGGAGGGGCGCCAGGGCAGCCCCTCACGCCCCTCCCCGTTGCAGGAGGCGGAGTCCTGGTCGTCGAGAGCCTGCTGGACAGCGACGGGCGGGGCCCCCTCCCCACGCAGCTCTACTCCCTGAACATGCTGGTGCAGACCGAGGGGCGCGAGCGGACGCCCGCCCAGTACCACGCGCTGCTGGCCGCCGCGGGCTTCCGGGACATCCAGGACGGGGGCACCCGGGGCCTTTATGACGCCATCTTGGCGAGGAAGTGACGGCGTCTGTCGGGGGTCTGGATTCCGCGCCCGAGGGTGGTCTGGGGCGATTCTGTTCTATCCCGTCCCACCCGCCCGACCCCACCCCACCCCATTCTGCTCTATTCCTATCATTTGGGGGGAAGATTTATTGATTTATTCAAGAGCTGGGGTGCAGGCCAGAGGTGTGGGGGTGAGAGGATTCCCCAGAGGCAGAGTGGGGACCCCCACCTGCTGCGCCGCCGGGGAGACCCTCTATTCCAGGCTATTCCATCCCATCCCACCCCACCCCCTGCCGCCATATTGTCGTGTAGCTGTTGTGCCGCGTTCCGGTCCGTCTGTCCACACCCCCTTGGTTGTGTTTATCCAAGGCCGTGCCGCTGGGGTCCGTGCTGCCATGTCCCACCCCACACCCGTCTATTCTCTTCTGTCTTCTGTCCTTTGCCGTTCTGTGCACCCTCCGTGCTCCGCGGAGGGGGAATTCTCGACCCACAGAGTGTGTATTCAAGGGGAACAAGGAGAGGCGTCCATGTCCCGGATGCACCCCACCGAGCTGACTCCCCGAATCGGCTCGTACGTCTTCGCGCGGAGAGCAACAGACCCCCCTCGCTTAGCGCCTGGCCGCAAGCACACCCCTCACTAGTCTTCACTGGCCTGCGGCTCACGAGGGCCGCACTCAGCTGACCGCTGGGTGTCGGTGCCTCTGACCAGCGTGTCCACCCTGCCCCGCCCACAGCCACCGGTCACCACGTTCCACTGTCCGCTTCTGCGGCCTCTGCTTTGTGCAGATTTGCCTTTGCCCAGCAGACTCACGTCACTGAGCACCCCCTCTAGTTCCAGCTCTGTCAATGAGACGTCATCCTTTTCGGGGCTGCGTAGTACTCCACCGCACGTCCAGACCACATCTCCCTGGCCCACTCGTGTCTCCTTGTGGCCCGGTGGGGTGGGGTGTGAGCTGCTGTCTCTCCACATCAGTGATTTTGTCCTCCTGGTACCTGCTCACAAGTGGCACAGCTGCATCCCGTGGTTTTTTAGGAGAATGTCCACACTGCCTTCCACGGGGGTCTACACACAGGGTGGGGTGTCGCCATGCAGACAGGGCCTCTTGGCCCTGGTCATCTGGGCTCGCTGTGCTGGACCTGGGGAACCTTCTGCAGAGTCAGCGAGGACACTGCGGGTGAGCTGAGCCGGCACCTGGGCGGGGGCAGAGGCCGGGGGTCAGGGGACCAGGCAGCCGGGGGCCTGGGGGCTGGTTCTGCCCAGCCGGGGCCTCCCCGCCTGGAGCAGCCGTGCGCGCTCGGCCCCTGGACAGAAGAGGTCGCTCTTGCCCCGCGTGTCTTCAACCCGCGCTCGGCAGCCGGCAAATCCCGCCCGCGGGGAAAGGACTCGGCTGTTTAAACAGAGCCGCCTGCAGCCCCCGCACGTCCGGCCCCTGGGCGAGCTCCCGCGAGCTCAGAATTTGCAGCCCAGGGCGCCCCGGGGGGCCTCCGTCTCCACCCAGCCTGCGGCTCCGCTTGATGCTCGCCAGGCCAGCTTCCCTGCCTTCACGGCGAGGCTCCCCAGGGTGCCTCCAGACAAGCTGAGGCTTTGCCGTGGAAACGCACAGGAGGCGTCCCTGGTTCGGAAAGGGGTGCATGGGGGGGCCCCTGTTTGTGCTTATGCAAAGTGGGGGATATGGGGGGCTCTGTGGGTCATGGTGAGGGGGCTTGGGGCGCTCCCTGGTTCAACCTGGTGGAACCACAGCTGCCTCCCACCTCGGGGAGCCCTCCCTGCTGCTCCCCTCGCTGGCGATGGGGACAATCCCGCCCCCTGGCTGCTGTGTGACCAGGGTGCCCGCCTGGGGGGCGTCCACTTAGGCCTGGGTGATTCTGTGCTGCGCAGTGTCCGCAGGATGGCCTGGCGGCACCCAGGGGAGGAGACCCAGCGGCCTCTGGCATCGGGGAGACACTGGGGGCTAAGAGGGTGGGGGCGCTGGCATCCACAGACGCTCAGGACCCAGGGCATGGCCTCTTGGCCGAGGCCGCCCACGCCCACGCCTGCGCTCGGCCCTGCACCTCCTGAGAAAGCCCCCAGGGTCTCCTGTCCCCTCCGTGCTGACTCTGCGGCCATCTGGGAACACACACAAGGTGCACGCAGAAGCCGGCGGAGAAACCCCGGGGGCCGCCTCCCCTGGGGGAGTCTCGCACCGACTGTGACAATGAAAACAACAAGAATAATAATAACCGCCGGCATCTGGCCGGGAACTCTCCATCGGGCCACAGGGATGCGGTGGTCAGGCTCGCCGGGGCGGGCAGCCGTCTCTGCACCTTCCAGGAGGGGAAACCGAGGCACAGGCGTCCCGTTCGTGTGGGGAATGGGGTGTGAGCTGAGCTTCCGCCCGGGGTGCTCGCCAGCTTGGAGACCGGCTTCTTATTTAAAATCCCGGCCCGCCGTTCACACCCAAGGGGCGGGCGCGAGGGCTTCCCAGAGGCCCCACCCGTGTCCTGGGGGGCCGGGCCCCAACCACGACGGGCTCCTCTCAGTCCGTCACACCAGGGAGCCGCAGAACAGAACGTGGGGGGCCTCCTGCGAGCCCCTGTGCCTGCAATCAGGGGCTCGGGATTCACTCGGCTTCGTTAATAAACTCTCCAACCTGTCCCCGAGGTGGTGGATGTCCCTGCCGGGACGCGCTGCTTCAGCACGCGGGCGCGGAAACAACTTGGCTTATTCTGGGGTAAAATATTGCAGCGGCGATGGAATGGGCGAAACAGAAAAACTCATGAGACCCGAAATACGCGGGTTCCACAGTTTAGGAGTTGGAGGAAAGATGCGGAATAGCGCATCAAGAAGGGGGCGCGGGCGGCGAGACTGGAGGCAGGTCTTGGGGGCAGAGGCCTCGCTGGGGAGCAGGGAGGACCGGGGGCTCGTGCAGGTCGGAGACACACCCCCCCCCACCTGGCAAGGGCAGGACCGGGGCTCTGCAGGTTGAGCCTTCATTAGCAGCTGGGAAGGGGGTCTGGATTTGCATGGGGCGTCAGGAAACCCCAAGGCCACCCCTGCTGTTGAGTTTGAGCCAATGACAACATGGAGTTGAAGTCATAGGATGATGGATCATCAGGTAGATGGATGGATGGGTGGATGGTGGATGGATGTATGGATGGATGGTGGGTGCATGATGGATGGATGATGGATCGATGATGGATGGAGGATGGATGGATGATGGATGGATGATGATGGATGGATGATGGATGGATGATGATGGATGATGGATGATGGATGCATGATGATGGATGATGATGGATGATGGATGGATGATGGATGATGGATGGATGATGATGGATGATGGATGGATGATGATGGATGATGGATGATGATGGATGATGGATGGATGATGATGGATGATGATGGATGATGGATGGATGATGGATGATGGATGATGGATGGATGATGATGGATGATGGATGGATGATGATGGATGATGGATGATGGATGCATGATGATGGATGATGATGGATGATGGATGGATGATGGATGATGGATGGATGATGATGGATGATGGATGGATGATGATGGATGATGGATGATGATGGATGATGGATGGATGATGATGGATGATGGATGGATGATGATGGATGATGGATGATGATGGATGGATGATGATGGATGATGGATGGAAGATGATGGATGATGGATCGATGGTGGATGGATGATGGATGGATGATAATGGATGATGGATGGATGATGGATGGATGATGGATGGATGATGGATGGATGATGCATGATGGATGCACAGAGGGGCTGTGGCCTTTGCAGTGAAGCAGAAAAACCCTTCGAGGAATTCTGAGGGGGGCCCTTTCCTGAAGGCTGAGCGCCCCCACCCGCGAGCTCTGTTTTCATTTGCGGAGTGAACCCCAGACACAGAGGTCACTCCAGAGGCAGAAGGACTCAGGTGTGGCCCCCAGGTAGGCGTCCAGCAGAGAACAGAGGCTGCTCCCCTGCCCAGCACCCTCCCCAGTGGCCAGGACCCCCGCCCACTGCCCCACTGACCCTTGGCTCCCTCTTGGGGGCCCTCACGGCGCAGGACGACAGAGTCAGGGCAGCTGGGCTGGCAACTTCACTTTATTTGCTCACAGCGGGGATCCCGCTGGGGACAGAGAAGCACCCTGCCACCAGGGCCCCCCAGAGGGGGTCGCAGGGGCATGTGGGGTCCAGATCCCCCCACACCATCTCTCCTAGACTTCAGGGGGGCCGAGGGGTGGTCGTGTCACGACCATGGGCAGAGCCTGGGGTGCCGGAGCTGATCCGTCCCCACAGGGAGCCACCGGGCTGGAGATGCTGGCTCAGCAGCAGGAAGGGCTACTGCAGGGCGGGCAGGGTGGTGGGCAGCCCCCGGCAGGCTGGCAGATCATCATGGGCTGTCCCCCCGATGGCGGGCAGGGTGGTGGGCAGGGTGGCGGGCAGCCCCCGGCAGGCTGGCAGATCATCATCATCTGTCCCCCTGATGGTGGGCAGGGTGGTGGGCAGGGTGGCGGGCAGCCCCCAGCAGGCTGGCAGATCATCATGGTCTGTCCCCCGCATGGTGGGCAGGGTGGTGGGCAGGGTGGTGGGCAGCCCCCGGCAGGCTGGCAGATCATCATGGTCTGTCCTCCTGATGGTGGACAGGGGGGTGGGCAGGGTGGTGGGCAGGGTGGTGGGCAGCCCCCGGCAGGCTGGCAGATCATCATCATCTGTCCCCCTGATGGTGGGCAGGGGGGTGGGCAGGGGGGTGGGCAGCCCCCAGAAGGCTGGCAGATCATCATGGGCTGGGGGCACCCGGAAGGCTGGCAGATCATCATGGGCTGGGAGCCCCCACAGGGCGGACAGGAGGGCTGGCTGCAGGACATCAGGCACACGACGGGCTTGCAGCTGGGCGCGGGCTTGCAGAGCATCATGGGCTGGGAGCCCCCGCAGGGCGGACAGGAGGGCTGGCTGCAGGACATCAGGCACACGACGGGCTTGCAGCTGGCGGGCGGGCAGGAGGGCTGGCAGCCGGAGGAGCAGCT